TCTTTGAGCCGTCCTTGACTGCTTTCGCAGGCTACCGGCAGGGAACTAGATGACAAGCGGAGCTGCCAGGATTAGAACCAGTGGTCATATGGGATCCCAGCGCATTCAAGGCAAGGACTTTAGCTGCTATGCTATTGTGCCAGGCCTATCAGTTGTTTTTCGAAGGTTAATAATTGTGCCAGAGACCTGGACAGATACTAACAGAAATGGATTCAGCTCTTGGTGCACACAAATAAATACAGCACAAGATGCATTTGGATGATGTAAGAACTTCAGAGAAAATGATAGGGTAGTTTAATGGGATTTTTTGTTGTTTATTTTGAAAGAGAAATGGATAGGTTTACAGATTTTCAATCCTCTGGATCATCCTTCAGATGCTTGTATGTGTCAGGGCTGAACCAGACCTAGGCCAGGATCCCAAAACTCAATCCAAGTACGTCGTCCACGAGGTTCGAGGTTCGTTGGTACTTGAGCCATCACCTGCTGCCTCCTGGGGTATTCATTAGCAGGAAACTGGATTGGAAATCAAGGTGGTACTTACCCTGGGTCTCTGATGTGAGTTGTGTGTGTTCAAGCAGTCATTGTCTCACCCTCTGCTAAATGTTTGTCAGATAGAGTTGTAATCTGTGAAGTTGGGATCTTAAAAAATGGTATTTCAGTAGGATCTTGCTTCACATTTGTTAAATAATCTACCTATCCGGAGGCTGAGAGATGGGAAAGCAAAAACTGGCAATAGATAGAAGAGAAGATGAAATATTCCATTTGGCTAGAAGGTAGGTACTAGTAAAGAACTAAAATATTAATTAGAAAAGTAGTGTAGATCCAGGTCAGTGGAAAGCATTAAAAACCAAGTTGAGCGTAGATGAGATTATCCTGTTGCCAATGTAGTTATTGACAGTTTTTCCTCCTAAGGCAGTTAAATATGATTTGGACCCTCAGAAGAAGGATACTTTTTTTTTTAAGATTTATTTTATTTTATTTTTTTTGGAAAGGCAGATATACAGAGAGGAGAGACAGAGAGGAAGATCTTCAGTCCGATGATTCACTCCCCAAGTGAGCGCAACGGCCGATGCTATGCCGATCTGAAGCCAGGAGCCTCTTCCGGGTCTCCCATGTGGGTGCAGGGTCCCAAAGCTTTGGGCTATCCTCGACTGCTTTCCCGGGCCACAGGAAGGGAGCTGGATGGGAAGTGGGGCTGCCGGGATTAGAACCGGCGCCCATATGGGATTCTGGGCATGCAAGGCAAGGACCTTAACCACTGCGCCACCATGCCGGGTCCAGAAGAAGGATACTTAAAATTGGAATTTCAAGGCCTGGCGAGATAGCCTTTTAGCTAAAATCCTTTCCTTGCATGTACCAGGACCCCATATGGGCACTGGTTCTGGCTGCACCACTTCCCTCCAGCTTCCTGCTTGTGGCCTGGGAAAGCAATAGAGGACAGCACCCATGTGGGAGACCTGGAAGAGGCTCCTGGCTCCTAGCTTTAGATAGACTCACCTCTGGTTGTTGTGGCCGCTTGTGGAGTGAGCCAGTAGGTGGAAGATCTTCCCATCTCTCCTTCTCTCTATAAATCCAACTTTCCAATAACAATAAATGGATCTTTCAAACAAACAAACAGAAACCTGGAATTTCAGTTATGGGCTAGGCAGAGAAAGGTAGCAAGAATTTGTGTAATAGTGACACAGTTCAAATTTTGGGTAGGTTTGTACATTGGCAGTAAATTCACAAATGAATTGGTTATGAAAATCAAGAGAAATGGGGGAATGATTCAAGGTTCTGAACTTGCAGAAATTAAAGACAGGGAATATGAAAAAAAAAACAGATTTGAGAAGAAAGGTTAATTCTGAAATGGGAAAATGTGATAGGCAGTTGTTGGAAAGCTACCAAGGTCTCAGATTTAGGAATTATTTGCGGAATGGTTTCTGAAGCCCTGCAATTGCAAGAGAGGAGGTGACAAAAGGATGGCAAACAACATAGAACAAATTCTTTCCACAAGTGGCTGCAATGGCTGGAGCTCAGCTGATCAGGAGCCAGGAGGTTCTTCCAATTTTCCCACATAGGTACAGGGTCCCAAGGCTTTGGGCCATCTTCTACTGCTTTCCCAGGCCACAAGCAGAGAGCTGGAAGGGAAGTGAAAAAGCTGGCACATGAACCAACACTCCTATGAGATTCTGGCACGTCAAGGCCAGGACTTTAGCCACTGGGCTGAAAGTGTTTTTTCCATCTCGTGTGCTACCCTCTGTAGTTTCATAACCCTTTCTTTAAAAAATTGCTTACTGATTTTTATTTGAGAGGGGTGGAAATAGACAAATAAATCGTCCATCTTCTGGTTCACTTCCCAAATATGCACAACAGCAGGATTGGGCCTGACCAAAACCAGGAGCTGAGAACTCATTCCAGGTGTTCCACATGAAAAACAAGGACAAGTGCTGGAATTGTCATTGGCTCTCTCCTAGGTGTACAGAAGCAGGAAGCTAGACTTGAACCCATGTTCTCTAATATGGGATGTGTGCATCCCAAGTCTGTTGCATCTAACAAGCAGCCCTTATGTAGTTCTTTATTCACAGAAGTTTGCATGGATTCCCCCTGCCTGCTTGTAAGGATTAGCAATTGAGCAGACTGGCGCAATGACTTCACTGGCTAATCCTCACCTTGCACGTCTGGGATCCCACATGGGTGCCGGTTTGTGTTCCAGCTGCTCCACTTACCATCTAGCTCCCTGCTTGTGGCCTGGGAAGGCAGTAGAGAACAGCCCAGAGTTTGCACCCTGCACCCACATGGGAGACCTGGAAGAAGCTTCTGGCTCCTGGCTTCGGATTGGGTCAGCTTTGACCATTGAGGCTACTTGGGGAGTGAACCAGCAGATGGAAGATCTTTCTCTCTGTTTTCTCCTTTCTATAAATCTGTCTTTCTGATAAAAATGAATACATCTTTAAAGAAAACATTGGGCAGAATGTTCCTTGAATGTCTGGGACTCAGTCTACTTACTGTCTAGTTTAGTAAATTCATTTAGAATAATTCATGCTGTTTAAAAAGTATTTTCAAAGATTTTTTTTTAGATTTTTAAAAATATTTTATTGGAAAGGCAGTTATATGAGAGGAGGAGAGACAGAAAGGAAGATCTCTTGTCCAATGGTTTACTCCCCAAGCGGCCAAAATGGCTGGAGCTGAGCCAATCTGAAGCCAGGAGCTCAGAGCCTCTTCTGGGTCTCCCACGCAGGTACAGGGTTCCAACACCTTGGGCCATCCTCGACTGCTTGGGACCACCAGGATTAGAACTGGTGCCCATATGGGATCCTGGTGCATGCAAGGCAAGGACTTTAGCCGCTAGGCTATCGTGCCTGGCCCAAAGATTTATTTTTATTGAAAAGGTAGAGTTACAAAGAAAGCAAAGAGAAAGAGACCTTCCATCTGCTAGTTCACTACTCAGAGGGCTGCAGCTGTTGCAGCCAAGTCGATTTGAACCCAGGATCTTCTTTCAGGTCTTCATGAAGGTGCAGGAGCCTGGGTACCTAGCCATTCTCTGTTCTGAGTTTCCCACACAGGTACAAGGTTCCAAAGCTTTCAGCCATCCTCTATTACTTTCCCAGGCCACAAGCAGGGAGCTGAATAGGAAGTAGAGCACCTGAGACTTGAACTAGCACCCATTTGGGATCCCAGCACTTGCAGGATGGGGATTTTAGTCACTGAACCATTGTGTCAGGCCTCCCCAAAAATGAAATTTTTTTTAAAAGAATGTTAACTATGACTTTTGTAGCTGGCTTAAAATATATAACAAATTGTAAATGAGAGAAAGATATAGAAAACCTGAAGCTGATTTATTGAAAAGGTAGTGAGAAAGATTTTATTAGGATTTGTGTAAGAGAATTAAGCAGATTTAGCTGGCTTGGTGCTGGATTTTATCATGACTACATGATGATAGTACTCACTGATATTGATGCCGCAGTAGAGCATGGAAAAAAAACTGTATTTCCTCAGATTTTTAGGCAATCAGTGATTGATCATGACTTGATTGAAGTTTTGTAGCCCATTTGTGAGACAACAGTTGTTTAAATAAATGCAAATTATTGAGCAAAAGAAAGTAAGGTTATCTAGTCTGTAACGGATTTGGTGTGGAACAGGATGTACAGTACCTATAGCCTGTTCTATGTAGCATAGCATTGAAGACAGCACAGACGATCTTATCAGAGAGTACAGCCCAGTGTACAGGTGTCATCAGTATCCTGTGTGGCATCTTTATAATCTCATCCATTAAACACAGGCTATTCAATCAAAAAGTTAACTGTTAAAAGCAGTGGAAGCACATGCCCTTAGAAATTTGTTGTTTGGCTGTTAATATATCTGGTAAAGAAAGAGGAATTTTAGTAAATATCTGTAAGATGTGTTTCAGTAAAGAGATTTGTAGGTTTATGATGAAAATTTTTATTTACCTTTAACTGGGGTGAGATGATGGTAAATACGTTTTTTTAAAAAAAAATCTGAAATAGTTTATGCAAAGCAGGAAATAATATATTTTGCTCTTTTAACATTTCCTTTCCCTTGTGGTTTAGTGGTTATAGCAGTGCACAAATTCATACACTTGGCTGTTTGTTGAGGTCTTGTTTGTCTTTTTTTAAAAAATGTGAAATATGTTCATGTTAGTTTATGCTCAGGATTATTAGGCCTTTACTAACTTGAGATTCGAAGCTTTAAACTGTGACCTGGTTTTTAATTTCCTATGTAACCCCTGTTTGAATTGAGTGGTGAGCAGGAGGCTGTCTCCAGCACTCTGCAGGTGCGTTTTATACACTGCAGAGCAGAGATGCCTGCATCACAGGGTGCCATCAGCACGGCGTTCTTCCTCTCTTCCTCCCTAGTTCTGCATGTCTCCAAGTAATCCTGGCTGGAAAGTGCAGTGAACAGCTAGTTAGTGATCAGTTAGCCACGTTGTGTGGTGAATGCCTTGCCTTTACAATAAAGATACTTTTGTGTGTGACTATTGCACTTGTGATGATTTGCAGGCGAAACCTCACCAAACTGTCGCTGATCTTCAGTCACATGCTAGCAGAGCTGAAAGGCATCTTCCCCAGTGGGCTCTTTCAAGGGGACACGTTCCGGATCACAAAAGCAGACGCAGCTGAGTTTTGGAGAAAAGCGTTTGGGGAAAAGTAAGTTTCAGAAGAATGATTTTGTATTGTGTGATAGTAAAACTTGTGTCATGAATTTTTTGTGTTTTGTGTTTTATTAATGAATGAAAATTGTGACAGCTGTGGGAAAAGTGAGTGTATCCACTTCCTCACTTTGGTAAATACTGAGATTTTTGGCCATATTCAATTTTTTTTTAAACAACCACCCTGTCTTCATGTTATTTAAAACTGTTGTTTTTTTCACCTCAGTGGATATAAAACTTGATCCATGCTACCACTGATGTCTACCACAACTATATTACTAAATATTAAAGTTAAAAACCGAAGACAATGCAGCATGCATCTCTGCTTCCAAACGAAAGATGGACTCCCAATGAAAGTGTTGGATATGTCTAGACAGTGGGATGCTGGACGGTCTGACAGTGTCTGTCAGTATTGTCGGGGCACACTTAAATAGCAGACTGATGGAATTGTAACTCCTTTCAAAGAGTGTGACATTATGGGAAAAATTAATCAGGGGGTTGGAAAATGGGGAGAAGGGAATCCCAGACTATACAGAATTGTATGATAAATTTTAAAAAGAAAAAAAGAAAAATCATATGTCTGGAAAAAATATTCACAATTGAGCGTCACCTTGGAGTCACACAGCACAAAAATCCACGCCAAGACTCACTGAGGGACGATTCCATAGTTCTCAAACAGCAGTCAGCAAACTCCACGAACAGGGGCTCCTGCATGTAGTCTCTTTTTTTAAAAAATTTTTTTATTATTATTATTTTTTTGTATATTAAAGGAACTTTAATCACCAGAATCCAGGATTCTCACATGGTTTTGCTGAACATCAGAACGACTAAGTAGAAGTAGACAGAGCTGTGGCGATGAGATCGGGAACACAGAGATGCATGTAGTCTCTGATGAGCTTGGTTTTGTTGTTCCCTGATCAGGGTTGGCGATCGACTCTCTCAGATGTGGGTTCAGCAACAAGGTTCTTAATGCAGCAGCTTCCCCCTAAATTCTTCAAATTCTGCAAAGAAACTGCCTCTTCATCACTATTTAGAAAATCAGCTATGGAGTCGTCATCACCTTGGTTTTCCACCGGCTTCGCAGTTTTAACAGTGACAGCTGATTGTTACCTCTCAACAGGACGAGCTTCAGGGTTGCGTTTGTTAGGGCACAGAGCAGTCAGGCAGTGGCACTTGGGTTTCTCCGGGCAGACCATGCACACCACCAAGCTGCGGCATAGCTGCCGTGGCCTCCTCGCTGACAGTGTCTCCCACCACCTACTCAGCTTTTTAAGGAAATAAAATTATACATTTGGTTGAAATCCATGCCTTTTGAGTATGCTCCCCTTTCTCCCTTCCTTCCTTCACCCCATCTTTTCTGTTATTAAAGGAGACTATAAAGGAGACATTTTAGCCCATTTGCTCTTACAAATATTGCCTCAGAAAGTAAAGCCTCACTCATCATTCTGAGTAAGAGTTTCTCTTACTTAATGTCTCCAGGGGTGGAGTTGCTAAGTTGTGGTGGAGATTTTTTGCTCTGCTGAAAGAGCACTGTGTGGGGCTTAGCAGGTTAAGCTGTGTGGTGACACTGACATCTCATATTGGAACGATGGTTCAAGTCCGTGCTGCCTGGCTTTTCATCCAGCTTCCTGCTGATGCACCTAGGAAAGCAGTGGACAGTGGTTCCAGTACTTAGGCCTCTGCTAACCATGCAGGAGACCTGGATAGAACTCCTGGCTTTTGGCTTCAGGCTGGCCCACAGACTGTTGTGGCCATTTGAGGAGTGAACCAGCACTTAGATCCCTTTCTTTGTCTCTCGTCCTTTCAAATAAAAACAAATCTTAGCCTATGGAACTGTATCATAAAATAATTTTAAAAAATGAAAACAAAAAATAAATCTTAAAAAAACTGTAAGAGGTCATAATTGCCTCTCAGAGTGGTTGCAGCAGTTTTGTTCCTGGAAGCACTGTGGGAGCCAGCAGCCCCACAGTGTGGCCAGGTTGGTGGCTGTGAATAGGGCTCCTCACTGCTTTCTGTTCCCTGGCACAGGGTAGTGTGGGCATATTCTGTGATCAGTCAAGGTTCTGGCTCTTTTTAAAATAAATATTTGCTTATTTGAAAAAGCAAAGTTACAGAGAAAGAGGAAGAGACGCAGACAGAGGGAGAGATCTTCATCCGCTGATTCACTGTGGGATGCTGGCATTGCAAGCGATGGTTCATTCTGCAGCATCACATCGCTGACTCCTAAAACATCATGCTTTATATGTAAAATGTAAACCAGCGGTTATGAAAGTCAAAAAGAATGCAAATAAGCTTAAATCTACTCTTTCAATGTAATAACTATATTAAAAAAGATTTTCATTTACTCTGTTTTCAGGCAGGTGAATACATGAACTTTCCAAAGGCAGGGAAATTGCATCTATTTTATTTTACAGATCAGAAACAGAAATCCTTTGTCTCTTGCTGGTCTTATCTGGGGCTGATTGCTCTTAGATTAAGTAATTTCTTCATTTTTCTCAGAACTCGAATAACTTGAGCCTTTTCCTCCTAACACTGTCAGTGTGTGTTCCCTGAAGAACACAGAATGTCTGCTTTTACAAAGTCAGTTTAGATAGAATTTTTAGGTAGTGAAGGTCTGGCCACAGAGTAAAGTGATTGTATAAAAGGGATAATTTATATATCTGTCCTTTTCTTAAAAAAAAAAAAAAAAAAAGAGAAGTTCTGAATAAAGGTGAGCAAGAGGTTAATTTGTATCATACTGCCGAAGGACAGTGGGAAAAGACTTCTTGGTTATTAACTTACTTACTGGAAGGCTAAGAAACACATCCCATTCCCAGTCCACAGCACACCCAAGCTTCTGTTGGACACTTGCAGTTGATCTTTGAGTGTGGTGTGACTCTGTCTTTTCCAAGGTTTGCCTAGTACCTGGAGTGACCACTGTCTCACCTGATCTCTCCCACCCCAGGACCATAGTTCCTTGGAAGAGTTTTCGACAGGCACTCCATGAAGTGCATCCCATCAGTTCTGGGCTGGAAGCCATGGCTCTCAAATCCACCATTGACTTGACCTGCAATGATTACATTTCAGTGTTTGAGTTTGACATCTTTACACGACTCTTTCAGGTAGGATGCTTAAAAGTTGACTCAAACAGGTTTCTGCTGCTTTTCTAAAAAGAAAACATTTTTAAAAATTGGAAAGAATCAATTATTAAAAGCATTTTAATTCTCGTTAGAAACCATAAGCAAAAAAAAAAAAAGACTGGAAGTATCTTGTAATAAATAGTAAGTAATAACATGTAATCCACTTTCTTCCCTGTTAATCTTCTTTTGTTACTGCATTTTCTTGTGCTTTATTTTAATTATTGTTGAAGTAGTTACCATTTTCTGCTACTGGACATTTATATATACTAATTTTTTTCTCTGTTATGTTAAAATTCTTGACTGGTTGCTATTGAGTTGTATCAGAAAGAACTCATTTCTTTCTCTCGAAGTCATTGTGTTCCATTGTGAACAGTCCAATTTGCACAATGTCTATTTGGAGCCCAGCCCTATTCTGGTTTTTGCTTGTTGAGTAGCCTTGCTGCTATTGGTTAAAGCTGCATTATGATTTCTGGACTTTCATTCTGTGTTAAGTTGTTCCTATAAACATTTACTTCTCTTCTTGGCTTCTTGGTGTTTTTATCTCCCAAACATGTATGTCTTCTCTCAGAGTGACAGTGTACGTGAGAACCTGTGACAGTCAATGGAGCCTATATTGGAGATTGGGGGGTCTGTGTGTGGTGTTCAGCTATGCTGAAGCTGGCTGTGTCTCGAGCCCCATGGTCTGTGATGTCTTTCTTCTTTCCAGCCCTGGTCCTCTCTGCTCAGGAACTGGAACAGCCTTGCTGTAACGCACCCCGGTTACATGGCCTTTCTAACATACGATGAAGTGAAAGCACGACTCCAGAAGTTCATTCACAAACCTGGCAGGTCAGTGCCATGAAGCAAAGTGGTTTATTCTTTTACATTTTGTTTATATGAGTGAAAGAAACGTGAGCTTTTCCCAGTGTTCTCCAGTGACCAAGATTCTACAATATAGGAGTGATGTCTGTTCATCAGAAGAATTGACTAACTCAAATCCTATGATTTGATAAATGCCTTCCAGCCACTTACTAATTAGGTTTATGTGAAGAAGCCACTCTTGATGGTCCCTTTGATTTTCTGTCTCTGTCTTGTCTTCGGGCCTAATAGCACCATGCATATTAAAACTGCCGGTGTCTGTGTTTTCAGTTACATCTTCCGGCTGAGCTGCACTCGTCTGGGTCAGTGGGCTATTGGGTATGTCACTGCCGATGGGAATATTCTGCAGACAATCCCTCACAATAAACCTCTCTTTCAAGCGCTGATTGATGGCTTCAGGGAAGGCTTGTAAGTACCCTCTGCTTGTTATCTACAAGAGGCTGGGGAATGCAGAGACCGTAAAACGCACCATTGCTGGGATCAGCATTGTGGCAGTAGTGGGTAAAGCTGCCACCTGCAGTGCCAGCGTTTCATTTAAGTACTAGTTCATGTCCTGGCTGCTCCACTTCTGACCAAGCTCCTTGCTAATGGCCTGAGAAAGGCAGCAGCAGGTGACCCTTGTGCTTGAACCCTTGCACCCACACAGGAGACCCAAAAGAAGCTCTAACATCCTGGCTTAGGCTTAGCCCACTCCTGGCCATTAGAGCCATCTGGAGAGTAAACCCAGCAGATGGAAGATTTCTCTTTCTCTCTTGCCATCTCTCTCTGTAACTCTTTCAAAAGATTTAAGTCTTTTTTAAAAATTTCATCATTACTACTTTTCAGGTTTTTTTCCTACAGGTTAACATTGATGAAATGTATTAATAGGCGATATTAATTGACCTTGAGACTTTACAGGATTTTTGAGGGTTTGTTTGTTTTCTTTTAAATATTGTCTCATTTATTTGTTTTTTTTTTTTCAAGATTTATTATTATTATTGGAAAGGCGGATAAACAGAAAGGAGGAGAGACAGAGAGGAAGATCCTCCATCCGATGATTCACTCCCCAAGTGACTGCAACGGCCTGGTGCCACGCCGATCCAAAGCTAGGAGCCAAGAGTTCCTTTGGGTCACCCACGTGGGTGCAGGGTCCCAAGTTTTTTTGGGGGAGGTGGGGCTGTCCTCAACTGCTTTCCCAAGTCACAAGCAGGGAGCTGGATGGGAAGCAGGGTTGCCAGGACCAGAACTGGCGACCATATGGGATCCTGGTGCGAGCAAGGCAAGGACCTTAACCACTATGCTATGGCACTGGGCCCTGTCTTGTTTATTTGAAAGACAGAGTTGCAGAGAGTGAGTGAGATCCTAAGAGTGAGACCTTCTGTCCACTGTTTCACTCCCCAAATAGCTGCAATGGCTAGGACTGGGCCAGACTGAAGCCAGGAGCCCAAAGCTTCTTCCAGATCTGCCATGCAGAGGCAGGGGCCCAAGGATTTGGGCCATTCACTACTTTCCAGGTGTGTTAGCAGGGAACTGAACTGGAAATGACATAGCCAACACTCAAACAGGTGCCTGAGTGGGATACTGTGCTACAGCATTGGCCCCAGGCCTTCTGGATTTTTTGTTAGGAATTCTATTTGAGTCAAGTTTTTTTCCCTCTATTGTTTCAGTCATTATCATGAATAAATTTTGTTTTTCCTTTCCCAAGTATTATACTCAAGTTTATATTTTTTAATATTAAATTTAAAATGTATCATGGGGTGCATATTATGGTACGTAGGGCTAAGCCACCTCTTGGGATGCCTACGTGCCATATCAAGGTACGTGGGATCGAGCCCTCCCTCCGCTTCGCTCCAGTTCACTGCTGATGCAGTTGGGAGGCAGCAGATGATGATCCAAGTACTTGCATCTCTGTCCCCCTTGTGGGAGAGCTGGAGTTCTGACTCCTGGCTTTGGTGTCCTTGCTCTAGCTGTTACGGACATTTGAAAAGTTAATGAGGCTATGAAAGATCCTCTCTCTCCCTCTCTTTCACTCTGCTTTTCAAATGGATACATAAAGAAAGTAATAATGGGACCTGGCGTGTGGCCTAGCACCTAAAGTCCTTGCCTTGAATGAGCCGAGATCCGTATGGGCGCCGGTTCTAATCCCGGCAGCCCTGCTTCCCATCCAGCTCCCTGCTTGTGGCCTGGGAAAGCAGTCAAGGATGGCCCAAAGCTTTGGGATTCTGCACTTGTGTGGGAGACCTGGAAGAAGTTCCTGGCTCCTGGCTTCAGATTGGCTCAGCTCTGACCTTGTGGTCACTTGGGGAGTGAATCTATTTCTTCTCTCTGTATATCTGACTTTGTAATAAAAATAAAATCTTTTTTTTTAAAGATTGATTTTTATTATTTTTTTATTGGAAAGGTGGATATACAGAGAGGAGAGACAGAGAGGAAAATCTTCCGTCCGATGATTCACTCCCCAAGTGAGCGCAATGGCCGATACTATGCCAATCCGAAGCCAGGAGACTCTTCCAGGTCTCCCAAGCGGGTGCAGGGTCCCAAAGCTTTGGGCCGTCCTCGACTGCTTTCCCGGGCCACAGGCAGGGAGCTGGATGGGAAGCGGGCTGCCAGGATAGAACCGGCGCCCATATGGGATCCCGGGCGTGCAAGGCGAGGACCTTAACCACTTGTGCCACCGCGCCGGGCCCTAAAAATAAAATCTTAAAAAAAAAATGATGGCCATTACCCAAACTTAAAAAAAAAAAGAAGAAAGTAATAATGAAATTAAAATAGCCACCTAGCAAGAACTTTCAGCAGATGGTTAGCCCACCTGAGAAAGATGAGCTGCTCCTATGGCAGCGGGCTGTGGAGGTCTTCATTGTCTTCCTCCTGACTGCATTTTGGTTCAGCAGTGTTTTTCTTTCTTTTTTTTTTTTTTTTTAAGATTTATTTTTATTATTTTGTTATTGGAAAGGTGGATGTACAGAGAGGAGAGACAGAGAGGAAGATCTTCCATCCGATGATTCACTCCCCAAGTGAGCGCAACAGGTCGATACTATGCCGATCCGAAGCCAGGAGCGTCTTCTGGGTCTCCCACGCGGGTGCAGGTTCCCAAAGCTTTGGGCCGTCCTTGACTGCTTTCCCAGGCCACAGGCAGGGAGCTGGAAGGGAAGCGGGGCTGCCGGGATTAGAACCGGCGCCCATATGGGATCCCGGGGCGTGCAAGGCGAGGACCTTTAACCACTTGCGCCACTGCGCCGGGCCCTCAGCAGTGTTTTTCCAAGCCTTGAGCTTTTGTAAACTGCAAATGTAGTTTTTACTGAATTCTGCCTCATTCATGATTTGCATTGCTAGTCTTTAGGAATTCAAACTAACTATTGTTTGGTAAGCACTAAAAGTACTAACCATTGACTAGATGCAAGAAAACCAGCCTGTGTTTTGGGAAAGCTCATTTGCCCGTTTTAGGTCATCTTCTGCGGAAGCACTGGCACTCAAGGAGGTGTTTCCCCAATTGTCAGAGCAATTTCATGCCAGGTGCTCCTCGTAGAGCATCTCGGTGGCTTAATTTGCTTCCTGTTACATTACATATAAATGGATGTCCTTAGTTTGTTTCACAGTAAACTAAGATTTCTCAGCTCTTCCACCAAAAGAACATGCAATTAAAAGTAGAAATGTATACCTTGGGGCTGGCGTTGATAGCACAGATTAAACCAACATTCTATATCCAGAGTGCTACTTTGAGTCCCAGCTGCTCTGCTTCTAGTCCGGCTTCCTTCTAATGCACCTGAGAAAGCAGCAGAAAATGACCTGAGTGCTTGGGCACCCAGCACCCACATGGGAGACCTAGATGGAGTTTTTGACTCTTATGTTTGACTTACTCTTTATAAGCATTTGGGTAGAGATCCAGTAGATGGATGAATCTCTGTCTCTTTCTCTCTCTGCCACTATGCCTTTTGAATCAGTGAATAAGTAAATTGATCCTTTAGAAAGTATCTTATTATTTGTGGTCATTCATTGATTTTAAGGAGTTGGCTCATGTACTGTTTTCATTCAGCCTACAAGCCAAGAGAAATGTTTCTTTTTAAAGTATTATTTAAAAAACAGTAACTCGAGAAGACTGTGATACAAACTACAAGACCTGAAGTCTTAAACTGTTTACCCTCTAATCTAGCCTTTTATGGGAAAAACTTGCTGACCCTTGATTAAAATATCGTTGGGTCTGGCACAGTAGCCTGTTGGCTAAAGTCCTTGCCTTGCACATGCCGAGATCCCAAATGGGTGCTGGTTCAAGTCCCGGCTGCTCCACTTCCCATCCAGCTCCTTGCTTGTGTGGCATGGGAAAGTAATAGAGAATGGTCCAAAGCCTTGGGACCCTGCATCCACTTGGGAGATCCAGAAGAGGCGCTGAGCTTCTGGCTTCAGATTGGCTCAGCTCCAGCAATTGTGGCTACTTGGAAAGTAAACCAACAGACGGATCTTCCTCTCTGTGTATCTGACTTTCCAATCAAAATAAAATAAATCTTTTTAAAAAAAATCCTCATGCATTGTCCCTAGAGAGGGAATATCAGTGTTTGTAGAATGTCTTCCTGACACTGTTCTGGGTTGTTCATTTATTTATTTTTGAAATATTAACAAGATTTTTCTTACACTTACATGAAGTTGTTCTGAAAAGGGGAAATCCTAGATATTATTTGTCTCTGTTTATAAGTATTGAAACATTGATGTCAGTAAAACTCCAGGGTTGGTTACCTTTTTTAACAGCTATTTATTTCCTGATGGACGAAATCAGAATCCTGACTTAACAGGCTTGTGTGAGCCAACTCCCCAGGACCACATCAAAGTCACCCAGGTCAGTTGAATTTCACAGTGTATTCGTATCACTGGAACCAGGCTTTTGTATATGTTAGAGAACCGATTTTATAGTTGGCTAGAAGACTTTAATTTGAAGCCATTAGCTAGATGAGTAGAATTGTGTCTGTGGTTTCTCTTTAAATCATGCAGCTTATCATAAAACTGGACTAGATGATTATGTTTAACTAGGAGGAGGTAACAGTGTTTGCTTTTCCTGGTGTTAGTACAGTTGCAGTCATTCATTCAACAGATGATCTCTTAATCCCTTTTGATCAAAGGAACAATACGAATTATACTGTGAGATGGGCTCCACGTTCCAGCTGTGTAAAATTTGTGCTGAAAATGATAAGGATGTAAAGATTGAGCCCTGCGGACACCTCATGTGCACGTCCTGTCTTACATCCTGGCAGGTATGGATCCAAGCCATGCGTTTTCTCACTTAGTAGTCTCTGAAGAGTTGGGTGTTTCTATATCCTTTTCAGATACAAAGGGTGACCTGATCCAGAGGTAAGCTTAAGTGTTTAGAATTTCTGTTTTATTTCTGAGAAATGTATTTTCTAAAGGGCAAGTATTTGAAGTACTCTGATGAATCTGTTCCCATGTTCTGTTTCTTTTGTAGGAATCTGAAGGTCAGGGTTGTCCTTTCTGCAGATGTGAAATCAAAGGTACTGAGCCTATTGTGGTGGATCCATTTGATCCCAGAGGAAGTGGCAGCCTGTTGAGGCAAGGAGCAGAAGGAGCTCCCTCCCCAAATTACGATGATGATGATGATGAACGAGCTGATGATTCCCTCTTCATGATGAAGGAGTTGGCTGGTGCCAAGGTAAGATTACAGTTTAGGAGGTTGGCAAATCCGTGATGAGCTGTACTCTAGAGTCCTAGACTCTTGGTATCTAAACTAATAGGGTGATGACAGCTGGAGGTGATGGAGCTGAATGATTATGTTAAATGTTGGTATGACTGGTTGGATTGAATCTTAATTTGGATGGCTAATTAATTTGAAAGGTTGAGTGACAGAAGTGGGGGGAGGGAGAGAAAGAGGTCGACTTCCATCTAGTGATTCACTCCCCAAATTCCTCAATAGCTAGAGATAAGCCAGGCCAAAACTAGGACCTCAGAACTCCATCCAAATCTCCTACATGGATGGCAGGGGCCCAGATATTTGAGCCATCTTTCACTGCTTTCTCAACCACATTAATGCGGAGCTGGATCAGAGCAGAGCTTCTAGAACTTGAGCTGTGGTGTTCTGATAGGAGACAGCAGCATCACAAGTAGTGCTTAATACACTGCGACACAGCATCAGCCCCACAGAGCAGCTGTTGTAATCCACAGTCCTTACAACAAACCTTTGAGTTGGTGCTATTATCTTCATTTTAACAGATGAAGAAACCAAGGCACAGAGAGGTTAAGGAGTTTGCTGAAGATCACACAGTGAGTGAGTTGAATCAGGATCTGCGGCCTGGCATTCCAGCTGTAAGGCCCACATTCTTACTGTCTGTGTCCTCAGAATGGGGCTTCTACTTGCATAGTTTCATGTAAATGGGGGTGAGGGGGGTACAATAATGGAATTAGAGCTTCTTCTGCTACTGTGATTAGGGATACTTTCTTCTTTTTTTTCCTCGTGGAGTCCTGGCGATAGAAATCAGTTGTGGGAGAGAAGGAGGCACTATCATCAAATCATCAAATAAAGGGGAACTAAGTGCTGCAAGGTAGGCAGCCTCTACTGTGAAGGTCCTAGTAAAGATAGGGATGATACAGACGTGAAAAGTTGTAGGGGAACTCGGCCATGTTGTGTGGTAGTGATTCATTGAATCTCTGAAGTCAGGCAGTCCTTGAAGATTGTGTTGAATAGGGAGCAAACAAAATGTAGTAACTTACCACAGATTTTCTGGTTTAGAATGTTATGAATTCATGATGTGCATTTTCTTGATATAAAGCTTTCATCTCAGCATCTGTGAGGCATATAGTAGGTGATGAGTAAACGTATTTAAAATATTTTTTTAAAGATTTATTTTATTTTCATTGCAAAGATATACAGAGAGGAGGAGAGACAGAGAGGAAGAACTTCCATCCGATGATTCACTCCCCAAGTGAGTGCAAAGGCCAGTGCTGTGCTGATCTGAAGCAAAGAGCTAGGAACGTCTTCCAGGTCTCCCACATTGATGCAGGGTTCCAAGGCTTTGGGCCGTTCTCAACTGCTTTCCCAGGCCACAAGCAGGGAGCTGGATGGAAAGTGGAGCTGCTGGGATTAAAACCGGTGCCCATATGGGATCCCGGGCATTCAAGGCGAGGACTTTAGCCATTAGGCCACAACGCTGGGCCCTAATATTTAAAATATTTAAAAATTTTATTATTAATTTGAAAGAATGACAAAATCTTTAATCTCTAGTTTACTTCCCAAAGCTCCCAACACCTGGAGCTGGATCTGGCTGATGCCAGGAACCAGGAAATCCATCCTGGCTTCCCCCTTGGTTTGCAGGGCCCCAAGTACTTGGGCCATCCATCATCTGCCGCTCAGAACATTGGGAGGAAGCTGGATCAGAAGCAGAAGTGGAACTTGATCTCAAGCGTTCTGACTATGAGATTACTGGTGTCCCAAGCAGCAGCTTGAACTGCTGTACTGACTGGCGCACCTGAAAGAATTATTTTTCTCTCATAAATGATTGGATCCAGTCCCTAGTTCAGGCTCTCATCATCAAGTATTCTGATTCGCAGGGTCATTGTCACTTCTTTCTCCTTTGCCTTACACACACTGATAACTTTGGAGTTGAATCCCTCCCCCTTTCCAGACACTTGGCCTGCTACTCTTCTCCACTTTGTGTTCTGTGGTCCAGCCAGGCTAATCCACTTAAAATCTCTTCCGGTCTTGGTGGCTTCTGTGTAATTTTAGCTTCATCTCCTAGGAAACCTCCCCAGGCTATATGCTGCATCCCAATCTCCATTTCACATATTTATGTACTCAAAAGTTGGGCCCAGCAGGAGTTTCTAGGGCCCTATGAAGCTGTCGTAGAACTTATGGCACCTTGGAGCATTCATTAAAAATATTAGAACTTCTCCTGTTACAAGTTCCTGGAAGATAAGAACCATAAACGCAGGGTAATTACTTCCAGTATTTATTACCAAAAAAACTTCACAGTGAAACTTATCAGTGCCAGATCAGTAATGAGTTGTTGAGGAAATGTGTCTTGTTTGAATGATACTTCTTTGTGCTTTATAGTTGAGGATAGTTAATCTTAGCCTCTCATAACCACTTCTTTGTGTCAATATTTTAAGAGGTTCATTTGACCACTGGAAGTATAGTTTAAAAAAATAATTACTTACTTATTTGAAGGAGGATTACAGAGAAAGAAATCTTGCATCTGTAGCTGGAGCTGTGCTTCTTCTGAGTCTCCCACAAGGATTCAGAAGCTTAAGCACTTGGCCATCTTCTGCCACTCACCCAGGTTGTTAACAGGGAGCTGAGTGGAAAGTGGAGCAGCTGGGACTTGAGTCAGTGACTATATAGGATGCAGCTGTGGTTCTACCCTCTGTGCCACAGTGCTGCCCCACTGCAAAAGTTCTATATTCTTATGTAGCTTACTGTCTTCACTTAAAAAAAAAGATTTATTATTTTTATTAGAAAGTCAGATTTACAAAAAGATGGAGAAACACGAAGAAAGATCACCCATCCTCTGTTTGCCTCCCCAAATGGCCTCAACAGCTAGAGCGGAGCTGATCCAAAGCCAGAATCCAGGAGCCTAGAGCCTCTTCTGTGTTTTCCATTTGAGTGCAGTGGCCCAAGGACTTGTGCCATCCTCTACTGCTTTTCCAGGCCTTCAGCAGGGAGTTTGATGGGAAGTGGAGCAGCTGGGACACGAATTGGCATCTATATGATAGGACCCCGGTGGATGCAAGGCGAGGATGTAGCCACTAAGTTATTGTGCCTAGCCCCATCTTCACTTTTTAAAAGGTATTGATAACTCCAGGGTTATTAAGGAAGCAGAGCAAGTGAGATAACAAGGTGATGATTATTTATATATGTTTATTTGAAATTAAAGTACTGCTTTTTCATTATATTTTTAAAGATAGGCAATATAGTGAGCATTTTTCAGTTTACATGTTAGTTCTATCTTTTCGGAGGACAGAATCTATGTTTTCTATGAACTAGAAAATCCATTTCTAGGGATTTATCCTAAGAACATACTCAAGCACAGAAGGATGTAGATGCAGCTGTCCTTGCAGCAGGATTTGCAATAAAAAATGAGAACTAGTGCACCTGTCTGTCAGTAAAACATGATACTGCTGCCTGCTGGTCCTCAGCTGCTGGCTGATCCCAGCTGTTAGGGGCAGCCATGTGTCAGACTTCTGGACTCCTTTCCCCTATTCTCCATCCATTTGTGAGTTTCTCTCCTTTTAAAGACTTGTGATTAGATTGGGCCCAGATGAAAATGCCAAAGTGTCTCTTCCCAGCCCCTGTTAGGATTCAGGCCTTTTATAATAAAGCAAGGTTCCTTCTGCCAAGAAGGGTTACATATTCAGATTTTGAGGTGGGGTTGTGACTGCTACTGAGGGACCATTGTGCCATCTTTTCAGCCTGCTACAGTCCAAATTGTGGAATGCTCTATAGTGAGTCTTGCTTGGGCTCACATTATAGCACAACAGGTTAACTGCTGCCTGCACCATCAGCATCCCATATAGGCATTGGTTCAAGCCCCCTCTGCTCTACTTTTAATCTGTCTCTCTGCTAATGCACCTGGGAGGGGAGCAAAAGGTAGCCCACATCAGGGTCCGGTGCAGTAGCCTAGTGGCTATAGTCCTCACTGTTACACTTCTCATCCAGTTCCCTGCTTGTGTCCTGGGAAAGCAATAGAGGATGGCCCAAAGCCTTGGGACCCTGCACCCATGTGGATGGAAGTTCCTAGCTCCCAGCTTTGGATCAGCTCAGTTTTAGCTGTGTGCTCCCTTGGGGAGTGAACCAGTACATGGAAGATCTTTCTGACTCTCCTATCTGTATATGTGACTTTCCAATAAAAAACAAAGTTTGAAAAAAAATGTGTCCACATCCTTTGACTCTTACCATCTACATGGGAGACCAAGACGAAGCTCCTCGCACCTGTCTTGGCCCCGGGTATTGAAGCCATTTTGGAGATCAGCAGATGGAATATGGATTTCTGTTTCTTCGTTAAGATACGTTAAAAGCATAAACATAGGGGACAACATTAGGTGGATGTACTCTAAATTACTCTACTTCTGAGGGTGGAAATTCAGAAGACTTTAACTTTGTGGAATACAATTCTTGAATATTTTACATTGAGCCTCTACTGATTTTGCAAAGCATTTGTTATTTGTATAAGTCACTCAGTTGTTCAGTGTTGTGTGCTACATGAAATCTGTGACAACTTTCAAGAGCTAGTAATTTTATTTGGGAAGAGAATATCACTGTAGGAAAACTACTTTTTAACATAGAGCAGACAATGAGTATTGTAAATTGTTGGCTATGTAATCTGTAAATGACCTGGGCTGTAGAACAAAGAAGAAAATGAACATCTTCCCCTAACTGTGTAGAAATTAATAAGAGAAAAATTAGCTCTGTATATGTATATTATCAGAAGACTGTTCCATCATTGTTCTAATGTCTCCTTAACAGGCTTATGCATATTGGCATACTTTTTGCCAGAGTGTCATGGGGTTAATAGGGTACGTTTTTAGCAGTGGAATTGCTGGGTAAGAGTATATGCACTGGGGCTAGCACTGTGGCATAACAGCTTTGGGGCCAGCATCCTATATAAGAACCAGTTCACTCCTGGCTGTTCCACCATTGACCCAGCTCCTTGTTAGCGGGCCTGGGAAAACATCAGAGGATAGCCCAACTGCTTGGGCTCCTGCATCATGTGAGAGACCTGGAAGAGGATGCTGGCTCAGACTGGCCTAGTTCTGGCCATTGTGGTTATTTGAAAAGTGAACCAGTGGGTAAGAGATCTCTCTCTCTCTTTCCCCCTTACTCTGTGTAACTCTACTTTTGAGATAGATAAATAAATCTTTTAAAAAAAGTTGTTGACTTGAAAAGCAGAGTCAGAGTGGAAGAGAGAGTGAGCAAATGAGCAAGTGAGCAGGCTTCCTTCCACTGGTTCACTTCCCAAATGGCCACAACAGCCAGGGTTGTACAAGGCTGAGGGTAGCAGCCAGGAATGCCATCCAATTCTCTTATGTGGGTGTCAGGGGCCCACGCACCTAGGCCATCTTCTACTTCTCCAGTTCATTAGCAAGTAGAGCAGTTGGGATTTGAATAAATACAAATAATATGTTATCTCAAAAATATGAAAAAAATTAAAATATCCAAATGATAAATGCACATAGCTTTTTTAAAAAATCTAAAATGCTTATAAACACTGATGTCCTGTCTCCGTGCCACCAGCTTCTCTGTATACTCATTCAGATTTTTTAGTTCTTGA